GAGATAGCACAGCTCTTTAATAGTATTATATAAAAAATTATTATTGAAATCAGTCACTAGTAGTAAATTGAATGAGAACCAAGTATTTGGCAAAATACTACACCAACTAGACTATTAAAAAACTGAAAAAAAAGAATTTAATTAGAATACTAATAGATGCTTACTGATTTCTTCCAGACTATTTGAATTAGAAATTTAAAACACTATAAGATGTACTAAAAGTATAGTAAATAATTTGTAAAGTGAGACTAGATTTGGATAACTCTACAAAGACAAAAGTAGGTAATAATAGTAGTTACAGCTCACAAGTATTTGTTTTCAGATACCAAAGTCTAGATTAATCAGATTGTAAATATAAAATATTCTAGCAGATTTATCTTGAGAACAAAAAGCTTTCTATAGAGTATAAGCTTGTTTTAAAATTCTAAATTAGTGTTTGAAAACAAAAAGATATAAAGTATTTTTGCTTAATTATAAAGTTAATATTTATAGATGCAAAGAGTTTAAATAAATAACTCTTAGTCAAATTATAGATATGACATCTAGTATAAAATCTATAGTATACTATTTATATTTAGACTATTTAAAAGTTATATATGTAGCTAGTAGTACAATTTAAATATATATATAGTATAGTATATACTATACTGTAAAAGTTAATTATAATTAAATCAAAAAATATAACTAAAAGATTACTTTAATATCAAAAAAAAAATTTATTTTTAAAAATATATATATTATACTATATAATACAATTATAGATAGCACTTATAAAGACAGGTTTAATATAAATCAAAATAATAAAAAAAATGTTTACTTTGTTTTAATTAAATTTTAGATAAGTTCAGTTTCAAGTTAAAGTAGAATATAGTTCATATCAGAATTTTGAAAAAAATTTTTTTAATAAAACACAAAAGACGCAAAAATATCATTTCTGATAGATTGTCAATACTGTTTCTGATAGATAAAAAAAATTAATTTATATATCATTCCTAATAGAGTTTTAAAAAAGAGCCTCTAAAATACTATACTACAGTACATACTTTAAAAGCTAATAACTTTTGATCTAAAAAAGATTTTTAAAAAGGAAGCCACTATTTTATAACTAAATCAATTTATTACAACTTAGCAACCTTATTTTTTAAAAAGTTATAATAATTTTTTAAAATATATAGCTTTAAAAATATAGTATTTTTATATAATACGTAAAAATTTACTAAAAATGAGACAAGTCACATATTTTGACTTCTTGTAATTGGCTAATTTTAAAATTATTTTTAAAATATTTTTTATTAATTAATTTTTGACCAATCAGAATATGTATAAGAAATCAAAAAGACATCAAATTTCAATATAAAATTTTTGAAAATGAGACAAATGTAATCTTTAAGTGTCTTGCACTATATTATAATGAAAAGTTAAAATTAGAGTTCATTTTTAGAACCCTATTAGAAGCAGTACTCAAATAATTTTTTTTAACTCCATCAAGATTGGTATTACCAATTCATCAGGAATAGTATTTTTGCACAAAAAACTGTTTTCTATATAAAATTTTGAGGCATTGTTATTATTTTTTTTTTGAATTTGCTATATATATGATAAGATTAGTTACAGATTTGTATCAAGATGATATTAATTTTTAACTATTTATTATATCTTATATAACCACCTAAGTGTAGCAAATCACCTTTAATTTTCTATTTATAAACCAATTTAAGACTAGCTACTATTAGTTATAGAAGGGAAAAAGGAAGCCCACATTGTTATTTTTAAAAAATACAATTTTTTGTATTTTTTACATTACACCTGGTCTGAAATTTGATTAGTTGGGTGTTAAATAAAAGTATTTCACTGTGTGATATATGAATAACTCCTTATTTTAAAACTATTTAATTAATTTAATATAAGATATTCTAAATAAAAATATTTTATTATCTAAAAAACTTTCTTAAACTCTAATTTTAACTACAAGCACTAATCTTAATTATAAAAATTTTTTAAAAAATTAATAAAATATATAATAAATACAAAATAAAAAGAATTAATACATCGCATAGGCGATATTGTCACAATAATGCAGATTATAAGATCAAGTGAAATGTAAAATCAACACAACGTTTTTTTTATATGGTTAGGGTTAGGGATAGATAAGGTTAGAGTCGAGGCAAAAATCAAGTTATTTAGTAAAATTTTGCAAGAAATTTTTTTCATTAGAATCCGAAAGGTGGTTTCATATGCGAAATTTTGAGTTATGAGCGATTTTTTTGGCAAAATGTTCGTTCATTTTGAATTTTCCCAAATGTGTAACGTTACAACTGATCTTGAGATTCGATTGGTTGATCATTTAAGAGCGACGTATAAGATGCATTGTGTAGGGCGATAAATAATGTACTCTTAATTTGTTTATTAACTTTTAACAAAATAGTTTATTAGTTATTTAAAGACAGCAGGAGGCTCGGGTGGGGGTTATAGCAGTTCTTATAACTCTTCTCATGGCAATAATGCTGGTGATTATGCCTCTGCTTCAAGTGGTGCTAATGCTTCCAGTTCAACAACAGGTTTTAGTAGCAGTGCTAGTGGTGCTTCCGAGATGTTCTAAATGCGATTGCAAAAATACTTCATATGCAATAAATGTCATTGTTGATGTAAAAAAATGAATTTACTATATGTAGTAGTTATATTTTTAACTTAATGTAACATAAATTCCAAGTAATATATTTGATAAAATAATTTAAAATCCACTTAATTTTATTGTAAGTTGAATGTGAATTCTTCAACAATTCGAATACGATTTAGAGTTCTATTTCACCCTCTGGTTATTCGAAATCAATCCATGTGGATTTTAAATCCACAATAATTTCATTCCGACGTACGTACATGCATACCCATCATTGATTTGATTTCTGTCATATGACTATAATCAACTGTGTATCAGAAATGGGCTATCGGATATCAGAAATGATAGGTTATATTATTTATGGAACCGACATGATGGATCAAATTTTTAATCTTTTATGGCAGGTTATCGGTTTTGGCAAGCCCAGTTTTGGGAGGGCTGATAGTATATTATAATTATTATAATAAGGGATCAACATATTGCACATGCAATAAATTAAAACTTCCTAAAAATATAGAATAAGCTTTTATTTTAATTTTAATAAAAATTAAGATTAAAAATGTATTAAGCTAAAAAAATGAACAATAGTTTCGATAATTAACGACAAGAATCACACGAGATTACCGAAATTGAAATGATTTAACTACATAGCTACATAGTAAAGTTAATGTTTTTTAAATGAAAATCGTTCAGAAGGTCCAAATATGTATGTTTTGAAAGTTTCACTTTGATCGAACAACTATTTATTAATTCGCTTTTGCAAATTACGGTTATGTGAAAAAATTTTAAAGTCTAAAATTTGCTTTGCACAATCATAATATACTAAAATGTATTAATAAAAGTCTCTATGTCTAAGTGAAACTTTCGGAATATGCAGATTTTGATCTTCCTAACAACTTTCCTTAACGCACAAATATCAATTTGCATAGTAAAATTTTGACTTTACTATGTAGCAACTGTTGGCAGTTTTTATGCGCAAAAATAATTTTTTTTGTATTCAAAATTAATCAAAAAAGTTTATTGTTTGATTTTAAAAATTTTTATTAATTATTATTTAATGTGTACTATTTTTGATCTTTTTTATACGTTATCAGATAAAAATACCGTATTTTTAAACGATATAAAAAAATTATTATAATTATTAAAAAAAAATAAAGGCGTTTAAGTTATTATTAGTTTTAGATCAAAATTTATTAATTTTTAAAATTCTAAAATTAGAGATGTTAAACCGTTCAAAACTAGCTATATCAGTTACAAACTTGCAGTTAACTACATGAACCTACAGTAGTTTCATGAAACTGTTTATAAGATTTATACGATCAGTTTAGTAAAATAGAGTTATTAAACTATTTTGATTGGATAAAAAATAAAGGTCCTTTTTATACGTGATAGTACTTTGATTAAATACATGAATTACGTAAAAGTTACAAATTAATTACATGTCTGTATATAGTATTTTAAAGTTTTTGACGTATCAACAACGTGCGATAAACTAACTAGTTAAACGAGTTTGGCTTAAACGATAACTACGTACGTACGTACGTACGTATCTAAAATTTACATATTTTTATTTTTTCCTATTTTTAGAAATTTTGAAAATTTCTGTCGATTACATACCTTGTGGCGCGGAACACGGAGTTTCATTTATTACAATTACGGTATTACGTAATCGGTCTTTATTCCGAAATATGTACATATTTATAAATAACCACATTACTTTTATCTTTTCACTAATAATATACTTATAAAACATTCCAAATAATCAACTTACGGAAACGGTCAGTAAAAAACAAAATTCACGACTATCAAAAAAACAAGACCCTCTACGCAATAAACATGTTACACAATGTTAATGAATCACAGGATTTCTTAGATAAACAAATAATTGATCAATTATCATGCGAATTGCATAACGATGAAGATAAAAAAATAATTGAAGAATTATGCGAATTGCATGAAAATGAATCATTCAAAGGAAGTTATGATTTTGAATTTATTACTTCAATAGAAAAATATTTGGCAAGAAATCAAATAAAGTCAGAGGATCTAATTAATTTATGCTTAAATAATCAATCAAATTCTATACTTTTAACTATTCTCGCACGTTGCTATCGTTATGGAAAATGGGTTGAAAAGAATGAACATAAATCGTTCATTTATTATAAAAAGTCTGCTGATATGGGAAATTCTTATGCTATGTGTGATCTTGGCGAATTATATGAATATGGAATTGGGGTTGAAGAAAATAAACACAACGCATTCGTTTGTTGTCAAATGTCGGCGGAAATGGATGATCCTTGTGGATTAAGTGAACTTGCTTATTGTTATGAAAATGGAATAGGTGTCGAAAAGGACAGAAATAAAGCATTTTTTTATTATAGCAAATCTGCTGGTATGGGACACGCTAGGGGAGTAATGCATCTTGGCCGTTGTTTTATATACGGAATTGGGATTGAGAGAGATGAAAATAAGGCATTCAATTATTACCAAAAGTCTGCAGATATGGGTAATGTTCATGGAACATATAGTATTGGCTATTGTTTTCATTATGGAATTGGAGTTGAAAGAGATGAAAATAAGGCTTTTATTTATTATCAAAAATCCGCAGATATGGGTAGTACTACTGGAACATATCGGGTTGGTTATTGTTATCAATATGGAATTGGAATCAAAAAGGATGAAAAAAAAGCGTTCGTTTATTATAAAAAGGCTGTAGATATGGGAAATACTGATGGAATATACAAAGTTGGCAGTTTTTACCAAAACGGAATTGGAGTCGAAAAGGATGAATATAAAGCTTATGTTTTTTATCAAGAAGTAGCTGATAGAAAATGCGGATTAAAGTAGTGCAAACTTTAATCAAGTTATTAGACCTAATTTTTAAGCGTTAATATTCGGTTGTTAGTTATTGCTTGATAATAAAAATCATTTAATTCACTTATATAACTTATCTCAAACTTATGAAAACATAGTTATTGTAAACTGAAAGTTAATCAACTGTTGCGTTTAAAAAATGTTTTCTTTTTTTTAAAGAATTGCATAATAATTAATTGCATATACAATGTATTATATTCCATTTGTTTAACCAATAAAATTGGTTTTTGTAAAAAATTGTTTTAAAAAGATTTTTTCGTAAATTTTGCCTATAAAACCCATGTCGGGTATAATAACAAAAAATTCTTGCAAAATTTTATTATAGAAGCTACTTCCTAACCCTAACTCTAACCTTAATATATATTTGTAATCATTATAATAGAATATTGCACCATAGAAATAAGGTTTTATTTTTTTTTTAAAAAAAACTTTTAAGAATAAATTAATAATAGTTTCGATAATTAATGACAAGAATCACATGGGATCACGGAAATTGAGATGATTAATTGTTTATACAGAAATTTATATTTGTCTATCACTATGTATAAAGATCTTATAGCACTATGTTTAATTTCTCGGATGAATTTTTTCGAATGATCTACATTCGTACGTAAGTACATACACGTAACACGTACAGGCGCGAAATCTAGAGTCCAATCTTGAGAGCGCCAATAGTTGCTACATAGTAGAGTCTTTTTTGTTGAAAATCGACACTTGTGAATTAAGTAAAAATGTTCGGAAGGTAAAAATACGTACATTTGGAGAGTTTCACTTTGATTGGGCAACTCTTTATAAATACATTTTTGCATATTGCGAAAAAATTTAAAAGTCTAAAATTTGCTTAGCACAATCATAATATATAAAAATATATTATAAAAAGTTGATAGATCTAAGTGAAACTTTCAGAATATGCATATTTTTGATCTTCCTAACAACTTAACTAGGGTTGGGGCACGGAAAAATTTTGAGGCATGCCAAGGGGGCATGCCAAGGGGGCATGCCTTTAACAAGAGCATACCTCTTGGTGGGTATAACTTTATGAAGATTATGATTGACCATTCATATAGATCGATTGACCAATAAATTAATACACTAAACTTTACTCTCACTATCTTTTTTGAACCTTTAGAAAAAAAAATACTATTTATTAAAAAATGCTATCCTATTTATATAGATTTAGCTTTTATAATTTTAAATTAACTATAAAATTAGTATTGACATAAAATTTGCCTTTTAAATCTTTAATCTCTTTTAATAATCATGGCGAATTTATGAATTTAAAGTATTTTAACTATGAAGTGCGTCATTTACTTTTTGTCTTTGATGTTTCTTATTGTAAAATCATATTTATAACTTCTATCTTTTTGCAAAAAGATGGGTTAGATGTTATCTATAAATAGTAAATGACACACTTCATAGTCAAAATATTCTAATTTATAAATTCACCACAGTGTTATATTTTATAAAATAAAATATATTAATAAAAAAAATAAAAAAAAAACTGATAAAATTTGCTTAGAAAAACTAAATAAACAATTAAGTTTGGGTTGTTGTATTATAATTTTTTACTCTCCATTAATCTGTAAACTTTTTCAGACAAATTTGTTTGGAAAATTCTTATAAATATACTTATGATTTATATTTTTTAAATTTTAAAAATATTTATTGCTGTTTTTGAAATAGTTGAAAATGGCAAATAAATTTTTTTTGATGAACATATGAACACTCAAACATTCAATTGGGTACATCTATATGCCCACTGCCTGATTTGGAAATCACGCTTTTTATCCAATTAGTGTTCATCATGTCGAATTTACACGAATGATCTGTATGTAATGTTAAAATTAAAAAAATTAACCGTTTTTTTAAAAAAATCGCTTTTATCTTGAAATTTTGCTTATGAAACTAACTTCTTCATTCTAACAAAAAAATTCCTTGCGAAATTTTAGTATATTTTTTTTCAAAGCTCTACTCTTACCTTAACATAACTCTAACACTAATTTACAGTATTTTTTTTAAAAAAAAATAAATATGTACTGAAATAATATAAACAATAACAATCATTTCTATTTTGGGCAGTGGGCACATAGATGTATCCACATTCAATTACCTTAGCATGTTGATTGAAGGTTGATGCTCAATTTATATAATTATTAAAACAATAATCATGTGGCATGACTATTGTTTCAACAATTACGTAAATTAGACATCAACCTTCAATCAACATACTAAGGTAATTAAGTGTTCATATATTTATGTATTCACTAAAGACAAAAATAAATTGGCGACCCGTTGCACTGCGACCCTTATATGATTGGCCAATCATTTTTAAGATTGGTGATCATATATAAACAGGAATTATTTTGCTAATCAATGTTTATTTTTGTTTATTTCGG